TTTCTTTCTTTCTTTCTTTCTTTCTTTCTTTCTTTCTTTCTTTCTTTCTTTCTCTTTCTTTTGTCCTCTCCCAGAGCTGAGGACCAAATTCAGGGTTTTGTACTTATACTTTTTTTTTTCTTTTCTTAAACAGCTGTCTCTGTGTAGTACTGGGGATTGAACCCAGGGCCTGCTCACACTTAGCAAATTCTCTACCTCTGAGCTACATTCCTAACCCACAATAAATACATTTTACAAATTAAAAAGCTTTTAAAGTTTTTATTTTTATCCTTCCTCCCTCCTTTTCCTTCTTTCTCTCTCTCTCTCTCTTTTTTTTTTTTTTTTTTTTTTTTTTGAGGCATGGTCACTTGTAGCTCAGGTTAGCCTTCAACCTGCTATGTAGCCAAGGCTAACCTTGGGCTCCTGACCCTTCTGTGTCCACCTCCCAAGTGTTGGGGTTACAGGCCTGCACCATTGCACGACACTATTATCTTCTTTTCATTTTTCTCCCTTTCCTCAGAAGAAGCTATATCACTCCACCTTTGAGTTTGGGGAAATGAGTCACTCAGGGTTTTGGTTTTTTTTTCTTTTTCTTCTTGTTCTTCTTTTCTTCTTCCTTTTGTCAAGAAGCCACACATGGGTGAGGGAAGAGCTGGTGTGTCACAGGAAGTCACATACCCTTCAAAGCACCTGTGCGGCTTCAGGGATCCTGGCATTGCCTCACAGACTGTCTTCAGGACCACTTTCAAAAGAACAAGGTAAGTGGAGACAGGGATATTTGCGGGACCCGTGGCTCTATGGCTGCAGGTGAGTGTGGCTGGAGGTGGCTCGGGCTAGCCACCTGCCCAGCCCACACTTGGGGTTTCAGGCGTTTCGTTCTTAAGATTTATTTTATATGTAAGGGTGTTTTGCCTGCATGTATGTAAGTGCCCGTGCCTGTGGAGGTCATAAGAAGAGGGCCTCAGATCCCCCGGAACTGGAGTTACAGGTGATTGTGAGCCACTATGGAGGTGCTAGAAGTTGAGCCCAGGTCCTCTGCAAGAGCAGCCAGTGCTCTTAGCCACCAGGCCATCTCTCCAGCCCCACACTCAGGTTTCTTTCTTTTTAAGGTTTATTTATTTATTAATTTTTATATAATGTTTTGCCTGCATGTGAGAGGGCACCAGATCTCTCTATAGATGGTTGTAACCACGTGGTTGCTGGGAATTGAACTCAGGACCTTTGGAAGAGTAGACAGTGCTCTTAACCACTGAACCATCTCTCCAGCACACTCAGGTTTCTTGATCCTGCTGGTGCTCACTGGCCTTTCTCTTGGAGCACATACACTTTTTACCTGTCTGATACCTCCTGAGGCTTCCTCAGCCAGGTGGCCACACTTGAGAGGACAGCCTAAAGTTTAGCTCACAGCCTAAACTTTCACCAGGATGGCAAACTTTTCTGCTTCTCCCAGCAAGTTTCTCAAGCCAAGGAATGCCACGTACTTACACATTTATACACATTATTACAGAACTGCAAGCTACTTATTTACTTATTAATTTTCTTTTAAAACATATTGATTGCATTTGTTGTTGTTTTTGTTTAAGCAACCCAGAGAGATCCTGGATCTGATCCTCCGGTTTTTATGCTACTCTTGCATTTCTTTCTGTAGTGTGTGTGTGTGTGTGTGTGTGTGTGTGTGTGTGTGTGTACGCACACCAGGGTGCTTGTGTGGCCGGCAGAGGATAATTTGGAGGAGTCTGTTTTCTTCTACCTTGTGGAACCAGAGAATTAAATTAAGGCCTGATGGCAGATGTCTACCTCTGCTGAGCCAGCATGTTGGCCTCAGTTGTTTTTCAGAGTCTGATATGGTGTAGGATGGTCTCAAACTCACTGTGTCACCAAGGCTGGCCTGGAGCTTCTGGTCTTCCTGCCTCTCTGCCTCTCAAGTGCTGGTGTATAGGCATGAGCCACTATGCTGGGCTGCCCTTTTTTGTTTGTTCATTCCCTCACTTTATTTATTTCTTTTTCTTTTAATTCTCACTGGTAAAATGACAGCAGCACCACATAGTTGTTAGCTGTTGACAAGCTTCTTAAGAGACCCTGCTGTGTAACAGGCCTTCAGGGTGCCTTTCCAGAGAAACCAGTAAACAAACTCTCCTCTGAGGAATGCCCGGGCAGGGGCTGGGGAGACAGCTCAGTGGGTAAGGTGCAGGCAGCCGAAGCACCCCGAGCCGGGTTCAGACCTCCAGCAGGCCAGCGGAAGCCGCGTGCGGTGGTGCGTGCCTGGAAACCTAGCCTTGCAGGGTGGAGGTGGGCAGGCGGTGGGGGTTCCTGGGCCAGCCTATCCACGCAAAACAGAGAGCTCTGGGTTCAGTGATGAGGCTGCCTCAGAAAAGAAGGTGGGCAGGGATAGAGAAGGACGCCGCTGGCCTCCATGAATGCAGGCATGGCTGAACGGACATGCGCACAGGTCTGTGCACGCATGTTTACACCACACACAAATACACATATGCACAGAAACACTGGAGCCTCCAGGCATGTAGCAGTGAAGATATGGGGAAAGAGCATAAGTGAATTACCGAACAAATCAAGAAGGGTTTAATAGGGACTGACAGGGTGCTGTAGAGACCTAAGTCAGGAAGCAAGGGGGTGGTTCTGGGTCAGAAAGCCACTCGTGCCCACACCGCCCAGGTGAGTACGTGGGTGAAGGAAAACTTCCGTTGTGTGTATCCACCCGTTAATTTATTCATTTGAAGCTCTGTCATCTGTCTGTCTGTCTATTTGAGACAGGTTTCTCTGTGTAGTCCTGGCTGTCTTGGGACTAGCACTGTAATCCAGGCTGTCCTTGAACTCAGAGATCCACTTGCCTTTGCCTCCCAGAGTGCTCAGATTAAAGGCATGTGGCACCACGTTTGGCTGTTTATTTCTTTTTTAACTTAAAAAAGACAGAGACAGAGACACAGAGAGACTCTGTGTGTGTGCCTACCGCAGTGCCAGCGAGTGTGCGCTACAGAGGTCAGATGACATCCTCCGCGCTTGCTTCCCACCTTCCATCGTGTGAGTCCAAGAGAATGCAGGTTGTCAGGCATAGTAATCAGTACCCAACCCCACAGGACTGTGTCATCCGCCCTGGGTTTTTGCTTGCTTATTTTTAGGCTTGTTTTTTTTTTTTTTTAATTTATTTAATTTTATGCGTATGAGTATTTTGTCTACTTTTATGTCTGGACACCTACCATGTGTGTGCCTGGTGCCAGGAAGCCAGAAAAGCTCATCAGATCCTCTGGAACTAGAGTTATAGATGATCGTTAGCCCCCATGGAGGAGCTGGCAATCAAATCTGGGTCCTCTGGGAGAGCAACCAGAATTTTTTTTTTTCAAGACAGGGTTTCTCTGTGTAGCCTTGGTTGTCTCAGACTCACTTTGTAGACCAGGCTGGCCTCAAATTCACAGAGATCCACCTGCCCCTGCCTCCTGGAGTGCTGGGATTATAGGCATGTGCCACTGTGCCCGGCTTGCAACCCGAATCCTTAACCACTGAGCCACCCCTCTAGCTGCATTTGTTTGCTTTTCTGTGTAGCCTTGGCTGTCCTGGAACTCTCTCTCTGTATGAGATTGGCCTCAAACCCACAGAGCTCTGACTACCTCTGCCTCCTGAGTACTGGATTAAATGTAAGCATTACTATGGCCAGCTTTCTCTAATCCTTTTACACTTATTTTGTGTGTGTGTGTGGGGTGCACTTGTGCCAGAAGAAGGCTTTCTTGCAAGTCAGTTCTCTGCTTCAACTATTGGTTCCCAGCGGTCAAATCAGGGTGAGGCTCAGTGGCACGTGCCTTTACCTGCTGGGTCACCCTGCTGGCCACAGAGACCATTCTTCAGAAACCCATTTTAAACTGTACAGCTGGGGGGGGGGGTACTATCCTTGCCTGTCCATGAGAAATGAGCTTCCCAGAAGAAAGACAGACATCCAGGGTGTGAACAACCAGCCCATCTGCCTCTCAAGGCTGAGATGAGTTGATTTGATTTGATTTTTGACCTTGAGGTCCCTTCTGGCGAGGGTGCGTGACTGTTTGGGGTAACATCCCGTACACCTAGGCCTTGCACTTAGCACTGGTGATATTCCCGCGTTCTCTCATTTGTTGTTTTCATTGGCTTCTTCAGCTCGCAAAGATGAACCCCACAGCTGTGGCAGACGCCACGCAGGACGAAAGCGCGTACGATAGTTACTATCTGTACGACAGCATGCCCAAGCCTTGCACCAAGGAAGGCATCAGGGCCTTCGGGAAGCTCTTCCTGCCTCCTCTCTACTCCTTGGTCTTTTTGCTGGGTCTGTTTGGAAATTCCATTGTGGTTCTGGTGCTGTTCAAATACAAGAGGCTCAAGTCCATGACCGACGTGTACCTGCTGAACCTCGCCATCTCGGATCTGCTGTTCGTGCTCTCCCTCCCGTTCTGGGGCTACTACGCGGCTGACCAGTGGGTGTTTGGGCTGGGCCTGTGCAAGGTTGTCTCGTGGATGTACCTGGTGGGCTTTTACAGCGGCATCTTCTTCATCATGCTCATGAGCATAGACAGGTACCTGGCCATCGTGCACGCAGTGTTCTCCTTGAAAGCCAGGACTCTGACCTACGGGGTTGTCACTAGCCTCGTCACGTGGTTGGTGGCCGTGTTCGCCTCCCTCCCGGGCCTCTTGTTCAGCACTTGCTACACGGAGCGTAACCACACATACTGCAAAACCAAGTACTCCTCGGTCAACTCGACAACATGGAGGGTCCTCAGCTCCCTGGAGATCAACGTCTTGGGGCTGGTCATCCCCCTGGGGATCATGCTCTTCTGTTATTCCATGATCGTCAGGGCCCTGCAACACTGTAAGAACGAGAAGAAGAGCAGGGCAGTCAAGATGATCTTCGCTGTGGTGGTCCTCTTCCTTGGCTTCTGGACGCCCTACAACGTGGTGCTTTTCCTGGACACCCTGGTGGAGCTGGGGGTCCTTCAGGACTGTACCTTGGAGAGGTACCTCGGCTACGCCATCCAGGCCACGGAAACCCTGGCCTTCGTTCATTGCTGCCTCAACCCCGTCATTTACTTCTTTCTCGGGGAGAAATTCCGCAAGTACATCGCCCAACTCTTCAGAACGTGCCGGGGGCCTCTTGTGCTCTGCCAATACTGTGATTTCCTTCAGATTTCCTCGGCCGACACCTCCAGCTCCTCTTACACGCAGTCCACTGTGGATCATGACCTCTGAGATGCTTTGTAACGTGTGAACTCGGGCGACCTGCCACTGACAGGCTCTGCACACCCAGCGCTTACTCGCCTTGTTTTCAATAAGGTTGCCCCAGCAGGTATCTGAGGAAAACCAGCAAGCAAAATCAGGGAAGATGGCTTCTCCCCTGCGGGTGTCTCTCTTTCGGTGGAGAAAGGTGTGTCTACAGGGAGAGGGGAACCTGGGGAGACTTGTGAGCATCTAGATTGTACTGAAGAGAAAGATTCCCCCCACTCCCTGCCTCCCCAGGACCCTCCACAGTCAGAGCCCCAGTGGGTGGAGGAGTTCACTCCTTCACTATGAACAGGAGCCTTGGATGAATCTCAAGTCTTTGTGGAACTACCTAGAAGACTTTGGCATGCCATAATGCTATTGTCCAGTGGTATTCCATGAAGCCAGATATTTAGAGAAATGAGAATCTTTCATTATGGAGGACTCTTCACTGAACTCTGGTAATCGCTGTAGGGATGAAGGTGTTAGGGTGATCCCCTTCTCCATGTGAAATAAAACATTTAGCACATACCTGTTGCAAGCCACATGCAGTCTGGCTTCTAGTATATGTTGTAGTTATAACAGGTGGCTATTCAAATTGTGGAAGACCGCATCAGGCAGAGAAGGGCAAAATGCCCTTGTGAGCCTAGCTGCTCTGGGAATGAGGTCAAGAGGTCTCATAGTCAAGGACTGCCTGGACAGTCTTTGACAAATCTGTGAGTTTGAAGCCAGCTTGGTCTACAGAGTGGGCTCCAGGACAAAGTCAGAACAGTTGTTCTTATGCTATTTTAATTATTTACCATGTTACATCATTAAGATGATTTGCCATTTGATTGTACTCAAGCCATTTAAAATCTTTAATGTTTTATATGTATGGGTGTTTTGTTTGCATGTATATCTGTGCCCCATAGTGTGCCTGGTGCCTGCAGAGGCCAGAGGAGGGTGTTGACTCCCTTGGAACTGGAGTTACAGATGGTTGTGGGTGTTAGGAATTGAACTCGGGTCCTCTGGAAGAGCAGCCAGTGCTCTGAACCATTGGGCCATCTCTCCAGCCCCTTGTTTTGTTAACCCTGAGTCATTCTACAGTACAGATTGTCCTGGGGCTCAGTGTGTAGCCAAGCTGGCCTTGACCTTTTCCCAATCTCTTTGCATCAGCCTCTCATGTGCTGGGATTGTAGGTGTGAGGCCCACATCCAGCTCCATAGCCTTAACTGCTCAGAATCAAGCAAAAACTCCAACAAAGTTTGTGAGCCCTGATCCCTCCCAAAATAAGAGCCAATCTGGAGAGATACTGAGTTAGGACGCTTCCGTTTTAGCACTGCTGCCTTATAAAGAATGCATTTCTAGAAGTGTACTTTCTGAAGAAGGGCTTTAAGAGGGAAAACTGCCACTGCCTTCACAGAAGACAAATAAAGTCGAGCATATCTGCGCTAAGCCTCATCTTGTCTGTGTGTGGTCTTCTGGTGAGGGTGGATCAGAGTTGCTGGCCCACCTGAGCTTTGGCCCTGTGGTCCAAGTCCAAGGCAAGAATGAATGAACTTACTGTTAAATTCAGATGGGGGCTGGCAGGATGGCTCAGCTGGCAGAGGTGCTTGCCAGCAAGCCTGGCCACCCGAGTTTGATCACTTGGACCCAAATGGGGAGAACTGACTCCACAAAGTCGTCCTCATATCTGTGCCATGGCACACTTGTGTGAGCATGCACATATACAGAGACAGAGAGAGAGATGTAAAACCCTGGTTGTGTCAAGAGGAGACCTTGTGTTGTACGCTGGGAGAGGAGGGCATGTGAAGGTAGGCACAGGCTCCTGACTGTGTGTACACAGATATAAAATATTGCTTCCTCCCCCAAGAAATAATCAGCCTTTGTGTCCTCGGATAGAAGCTTCATTACACACTGTATTCATATATTGGATTGTCATACTATATCCCATAAATATGTATATACATCCTGCATTAATCCAAAACATAACAGAAGAAGGGTATAGGCTCAGTCCAGGGTTCTTTTTCCTTTTCTTTTTGGTTTTTTGAGACAGGTTTCTCTGTGTAGCCCTGGCTGTCCTGGAACTCACTCTACCTAGACCAGGTTGGCCTTGAACTTGGGGATCTTTCTACCTCTGCCTCCCAAGTGCTGGGATTGAAGACGATTGTCACCACAGCCTGGTTTAGGAGTGGCTCATAGTTGTAGGCACTTTTCTTAGAAAAACTTTTGGCTCACATAGAGGGTGTGGCATTTGCTCAGGCAGAGGCACTTCCCACTTCCTGGTGAAGCTTTGCTCACTTTAGCATAGCGACCCCGGAGCTTGGTGAATGCCAAAGGGTCTACTGTCTGCTCCCCAGCACACACAAGAGCAAGCAACGGTGAGCTGCGGGTCCGTGGCTCCATCCTTGTACCACGGTGGGGTCTCTTCCCACCTCCACTCCCTCACCAACGAGGCAGCTGCATGGCGACACTAGCGAGCTGCCATCCTGGCCGGCCTCAGAGACCTGCATGTTCACTCTGGCCTGCCCAGGACAGAGCATCGGCTCTTTGTTGGGCTGGCGGCAGCAATCCTCTTCTGGGGGCAGTTTGCCACTAGCAGCTGCTCTCGGGGTGGAGGTAAGCGTTTGTGTCCTCACCCAGCTTTGGGACAACTCTGAGAGGTCCTGGCAACCTCTGAGCCCCCTGCGATCTTCTGAGGCGGCTGTTACACCCATCACGGTCAGCCTTCCGGACTGCCCACGCCTGCGGCCCTCGTGTCCACACGGGTGTTTCCAAGAAGGCTGCCAGGAGGATTCCTGCGTGCTGCTCGCAGAGGCTCAGGCAGTTTCCAGGCATCTTAATACGGAGCCACGCCAGATGTCCTTGCACCAGGGCATCCTCCCTTCATCACCGTGCCCTGAACACCCGTCACACTTGCTCCTCAACTCTTCAGGCCCCAGGGACCCGAGTGGGCCCTGAGGCATTCCCCCCACGCCGCACTCTGCGCTTGACCAGGCTGCATCTCTCTGACAGGCTGCGCTCCCTCCACAAAATGAGCCAGATGAGCAGACTCACTTTTGTTCTCTCGGCACTTCGTTAGTATTTTTAAAAGTTACACTTATAGCGGGGCGGCGGTGGGGCAGCCTTTAAGCCCAGGCAGAGGCAGGCAGATCTCTGCGTTCCAAGCCTACAGAGTGAGTTCCAGGACAGCCAGGGCTACACAGGGAAACCCTGTCTCAACAAAACACACAAAGAACCTTCTGTTTATTTACCTAGTGGGCGTGGCAGCACGTGCTCGGTGCGCATGCGCCCCCGGTGCCCACGGGATGACTTGTGGAACTCACTCACTTCTCCCCTTCCTCACGGTTGTCCTGGCGTGTCAGGCTTAGCCCTCTCCCCGGCCCACAACAGTCCACTACTTAAAAGTTCACAGTTCCAAATTCCCCTTTCAGAGCAGGAATCCACCAAGTACTTTCTCAAGTTGAAAGTCATTTCAGACTTTCAAAAAGGAGATACGGTCACTTTTACGGTTCTAAGAACTGCGGTTCAGGGGCCCGGGGATGCAGCTGAGATGGTAGAGCGATGGGCTAGCACAGACGGGGCGGCAGGAGCCTCAGGTTCAAATGACAAAACAAAAACTGGTTTGTTTGTTTGTTTGTTTGTTTTGAGACAGGGTTTCTCTGTGTAGCCTTGGCTATCCTGGAACTTGATTTGTAGGGCAGCCTGGCCTTGAACTCACAGAGATATGCCTTACTCTGCCTCCTGAGTGCTGGGATCAAAGGGATGTGCCACCTCTGCCAGGCTAACAAAACCTTTTTGTTACATTTATTTGGTGCGTGTGTGTGTGTGCGCGCGTGCGTGCATGCCTGTGTATGCCTGTGTGTGTCTGATGTGCTGACGTGTGCTATTTGGAAGACAATTAGCAAGAGTCAGTTCTGTGCTTCTACCATGTCAAAAAGGTCGAATTCAGGTCGTTAGGTTTGGCAGGACACCGCTACTGCTGAGCCAACTCACTGGCCAGTGGTCAGGAGTTCAAGGTCATGAGCACCTACCTATTGAGTTCAGAGCCAGCCTGGGCTACATGAGGTGAGAGAAAAAAAAAACAAAACAAACAAGAAATGGAAGTTTAGGGGAGCAATATTCTAACCGTGAACCCAACTAACTCTACCAACGTGGCTGCCACATCCAGGCTGGTGAAATGCTCCCTCTGCCTGCCTGACGCGCCTCTCTGCCCTAGTCGCCCCATTTCTGTTTATGTACACAAAGTCACTGACTTATCTCTAAAATTCCCCAACTGTGTTTCTAATAAAACTTTATGTGACCAGGTTCAAAGACTGACCGAATTGTTCCAGAAGTAGTAGGCGGTTATGGGTTAAAAAAAAAAAAAATTACTTCACTGAGACTCTAGATATGAACAGAAGTACGAGAGTTGAGAGTCTGTAGTTTCACCTCTGGGAAATTGTAAAATAACATCAAGAAGAATAAGTTTAAGAGCCATGAATTCCTGTTTTTTTATTTTTTGAGACAGGGTCTCACTAATGGGTGAGGCTAGCCTTGAACTCACCATCTTGCCCGCCAACCTTCCAAGTGCTGAGATTACAGGTGCCATCCCCTGGGCCTGACTAATAACGCCCAAACTTAACTTTATTTTTTGAAGTGAGGACCTCATGCCTCCAGACAAACCCTCACCCTAAGCCGTACCCTGTTGCACCTCAAGGACGTTAAAGGGGGTGGAGGGGACGGGGTCTTCTATAATCGTGTTCTGCACGTCCCCACGGAATCAACACTAATCTCTGGGGGGAAAATGAACAGTGCTGGATGGAATTTTGCTCTCAAGGCACATGGGAGGCCTGGGTGCATTCGCCAACACTCTTAGATACCATGTGCTCTAAACATACACACTTGAGTTAGGACAGTAGTACACACTATAAACCCATTCGTTGGGATACATCTGTAATCCCATTAGTTGGGAGGTAAAGACAGGAGGATTAGGAGTTCAAGGTCATCCTCATTTACATAGAATGTTTGAG